ATTTTGTCACTGCAGGGCGCCTGGGTGGCTCAGTTGGTTAAGCGACTGCCTTTGGCTCAGGTCATGATCCTGGAGTCCCTGGATCGAGTGCCGCATCGGGCTCCCTGCTCGGCGGGGAGTCTGCTTCTCCCTCTAACCCTACCCCCTCTTGCGCTCTCTCTCTATCTCATTCTCTCTTCAAATAAATAAATAAAATCTTTAAAAAAATAAAAAATAAATAAAAAAAAAAGAAAGGGACTGTGGCCCTTTGACTCACGGATACGCCTCCCCCTTGTATAGTGCCCTGTCATGTGACTCTGGGGTCACGTGACTGCTAAGGTAGCGTGCACTTCCTGGTCCCTTATCTTTCAGTTCAATCAAGTGAAAACGACAATATGCTTTACAGGACATCACCTGGGGAGCTATGGGGGTTTTGTTCTTGTTCTCTTGGGCTTCTGCTGTCACCATAAGAAGAGCTTCCCCCTGCAGAGCTCCTGTCCCTGCAGCAGGAAGCCCCAGCAGGAAGGTGTGTGGGGCAGACCCTAGTCAACCCTACAGCCTGGAACAGAGCTCGGCGGGTCTGCGCTGTGAAGCAGGGCTGCCCAGCTGAGCCCAGTGTGGGTCAGCCACCCTCGGTCAACCCACATACCCACAAATGGGGGATTAAGTGTTTAACATCCAGCCCCAGAATTCTGTGGCTGATACAGCGGCCATGCTGCAGCCGTACCGACCTTCTCACCAATCTCTGTCCGGTCCCCGCTGGGCAGGATTTCCAGATCTGGGAGGAGGGCACAGGCTTCAATGACGGTCTTATAATACCGTTCCTGTAGCTGGTGGCCGAAAAGGATGTTTTCTCGGAGGGAATCATTCTGAATCCAGGCCTGCTGGGGGACGTAGGCCACTGAGCCCTAGGAGGCGCGTACAGAAGGCAGCAAGACAGAGAGCCTTGGTTAACAAGATGGCAACCAGCCCGCCTACCGGGAGGGCCCTACTTCCCAGGATACTCTCATCACACCCATTGTTTCAGCAGGGGGTAAACTGAGTCACGACAGCCTTGGATGCCAGAGCTGGGATCAGACCCCACGCTAAGTCAGTCAGGGATTCTAATATCAGGTATTCAAGAGTGGAAATCCACATTGGTGAGATTATAGCTTTGCGTTTACTAAGTATTCACTGAATGCCTCTAGCAGCAAACAAAACTCTGGTTTCTCAAGAGTAAGAAGGCCCTGACATGATTTTTTTTAAAATTATTTCATTACAGTTATGCTAAATGCTAAGAGGGAAAAATATATGAGTCCTTCAAGAAGTCCTTTAAAGAGGGAGACCTAGTTTGGGTCATCGGGGAAGGATTCCTTGGGGACATTCCCTTGATGAAATGTAAGCAAGGACTTCAGTATCAAAATCATCCGGTTCAAAAGTTTAGTGTTCATTTCCACGTGATAAAGTGCCAAGAATGTGACGAGAATAAGGGCTAGGGTGAGGGCATCTGTTTCATGTATTTTAGTAAGAAAGTTTTAAACAAGGATGGACAGGTGACGAGGATACGCTGGTGTGACAAACAGGAGGTGGAAGCACATTCCAGTCAGAGGGAACAGCATGGGCAAAGGTCCAGAGGCGAGAAGAACCTGGCCCATCCAAGGAACAGGAAGGCCAGTATGACTGGAACATCGTGTGAGGGGGAAGACGGGGAGGAACGAGCAGGAGAGTGGGGCCAGCTCACACCAGGCTAGGGGTCCTGGTGAGGAGTGTGGGCTTTACTGGAAGGGCAAGAGTGAAGATTCTTACCTAAGGGAATTCTAGAGGGACAAGGTTGGGAGTGGGACCCAGGTGTCCCCAATCTTAATCTCCACTCTCAGATAAATAACTGAACTGCTGACTCTAATACCCTAACTTACAAGAGGCCAAAAGGTCACAAAACCTCACCAAATAAAAACATTTGGAAAAAATTAATACTTTCAGCACATTTCTAGCATGCTCCTTCGCAGGGCAAAACAACCAGTTAGAAATCTGTCAACCCATCAAACCAAATACTCAGTGCACCCTCCCTCCACTTCTAGATCCATCATTTTTTAATTTAAAGGCTTTTGACTTTAAAACAGCGGTTCTCAACTGGGGGCAATTCTGCCCTCCAGGGGACATTTGACAGTGTCTAGACACTCTTGGTTATCACAACTGGAGGTTGTTACCAGCATCTAGTGGATAGAGGCCAGGAATGTTGCTTAACATCCTACAAAGCACAGCACAGCCCCCCACAGCAGAAAATCATCCAGCCTGAAAGGTCAATAGTGCTGCGGGGGTGGAAACTCATAAGGTGGATGGTTTGGAGGTTTTTTCCCATCAAGCGAGGTCTCATTGTTCCTTAATCTTACTTTAGTAACATGTACTTGAAAGCAGTGATGGGACATTTCTTAAAATAACAGCTAAATGTCGTTAGTTTAGATCCAACAATTATAACATGTACTTCTCTACTAATGCATACCCACTGAAAGGCCTCATATAAACAAAGGATTTTGCTCTGAAATAAAAACAGTTGCATAAACCAGCATTCCCAAGAGAAGATTCCAGGAGACATTACTTCTGGGGAGGCAAATAGTTGTTGAACAGATACTGAAGAGTACAGGCAAATACATCTGGGACACACTGGGTTAACCGAAGTTAAGTAAGTTTTCTTCTCCTTGCGGGACTTCTCAGAGGCTTTACTTTATTACTGTTTAAATTTCCGAGAGGGAGGGAATCTGAGTTTGCAGTATCTCCCAAACTTGCTGGAGCCCAGAACTCTCTATTCCCCAAACAACTGCACGATGAGTTTGCTGTCGACCACGCTCCAGGAAATGCTGGGTTAACAAAACTTCGAGGCAAGCTTTCTACACCAGGGAAGTCCTTCATGGGGAATAAACTAAATGCAAAAACGAGGCTCTTGATTTCCAATGAGACTCATCTGTTCACGAAAGCAGCCTTTTAAATTCTCTCCTGAGGAATATTCCAACTTAGTTCAAAGTACTCCGTATATTTAAAAACCAATAAAAACTGTAGTCCTTCTTTTAATCCCACATTAAGAATCCAAGGAATGCTCAGAATTTAAAAAGTTCTCTTTAAAAAGAATTCTCTAAGAACATATCCCAGACACAAAAAATTTTAAGTTTTGCTACATTTATATAACAGAGATACACGGAGAGATCCATGTACAGAAAGAACAAGCCAGAAAGACTGGCGCTTTAAGAGAGACCAGGAGATGTACAGTGAGGGCCACAGATGGGGAGGGAATGAGAGACCATGAGTGGACCAGGGAGCATCCACATGTTTACTCAGTATTTACTGAACGCCTACTACTTGCTAGGCACTATTCTCGGTGCTGGGATACAGCAGGAAATTAGGGTCATCAACTCTTGCCTTCCAGGGGGCCACAGAGCAGAGCAGAGAGAATGGGAGAGAAGGAGGGAGTTGCTCGCTGCTCTCGCTTCCTGCACAGGGGCTGTCTCGAAACAAAACACAGCATTGCGCTCGCCCCTCCCCTGAGGCCGGCAGCGCCCCGGTGGCCCCCCACCTTCCCAGTCCTCGTCCTACCTTGATAGCCACGTGCCCCTCCACCTTGTCCATCTCGGCCAGGAGTGCTGAGAGCAGAGATGACTTTCCACAGCCCACTTGGCCCACCACGGCCACCAAGGAACCTTCCGGAATGGAGAAGGTGATGCTGAAATGACACAAGGGCTCTGCCTCAGCCACGCCCTCGCCTGAACAGGTGGCAGCCCACCGCAGCTGGATGTCCCCCGAGTGGAGAGAGGCGGAAGGCAGGGCTGTTCCGAGCCCTGAAGGTCTGGAAATTATTCCCGCCGTTTCCCCCGCTAAGCTGAGCTCAGTGGCTGGTCTCAGCAGGCCGAGGTGTGTGAGGCCCCAGGCAGGCGCTGGGATGCAGAGGTGTCTCAGAGAAACCGAGGCAGTGGGAGACCCCCTGGGGGAGGCGGGGTTGGGGGGGGAGGTGAGGTTACAGTGAGGGAGCCGGACGGTGGAATATTAACAAAGCGGGTGCCCTGAGGGACAGACACCACAACGTGAACTCTGAGGGAAAAAGAAGGACGAGGCAGGGAGGAGTAAGGCTGGTCCTGAAGAGGTGGCAGGTAGCGGCCACACCCGAAGAGGCCAAGACTGGCGGTGCTAAGACGCTCACACCTCGTGGATGGGAGCCGCGGGGTCTGGAGGGGGGCCTGACGTGGGCGACTGAGTCTGCGAAACGGGTCTCACAGACGGCGGTGCACCAAGTACAATAAGCTCAACGCTCCACCGGCGAGACTGCCCGTCGGAAGACATGGGGCCGTCACGTGCTGCCAAGTCGGGGCTGATTCCGTGCACCCAGGGAGGGGCAGGCACCCGAGCCCAGGGCCTCGCTGGGTTCACTTCCTTGGCTGCGCTTTTCAGCGGATGCGATCATGACTCAGCCTATTAGTGAAATGCTGTTAGAGTTTGTGGTCACTGTTTAGTGCTTGTAAAGCTGCTGCATGGTCCCACCGATTACGCTTTTGTTCCTGCGCTGAGCGGAGAACGGACAATGGGGCCACAACAGAATGCGAAGCCCAGTGAGGCAGGTCCTGTGACTGTCCAGGTGGGAATGGAATATTGTTACAGGCTGAGGAAAGGTTTGGATTGGGAAAGGTCTTGGGAGTTCAAGGGCAGGAGTGGGGGCGTGGGTGACTAGAACGAGAAGGCAAGAGAGACAAAGAGACAAGACAGAAAAGCTAAAATTGAAGCAGGCAGGAGTTAAGTTAGACATAAGGAAGAACTTCCTGAGCATGCAGTCCCACCGGGGGTTTTCAAGGGAGGGGATACAAAGATTCTTTTCTTTAGAGAGTTTGTCCCCCCACCCCCATTTCCTGAGTTAATACACAGCAATAACTGGGCACCCAGTGAGGGGATAATTGTTAAGGGGCTCGGGGGATAAATGTGGTCCCTACAAAGGTCCCTCTGGCCCTGTGTTTTGGGGACTCCTCTGGGGAAGCCTCACAGAGCCACCAAGCAAGGCCTCCCCCGTTCAGAAAGGAGTAAGAGGCAGTTGACCGGTGGCCTGGAGAACCACGTCAACTCCCCAGACACTGTGTGCTTTGGGAAAATAAGGGCTGGGTGGGGAGGATCCCAGACGGGGAGATGACAAGAAAGGGTGACTCAGGTAGCCGGGAACCTTGGAAGGGATGGAGAAGAGCGATTCCATCCCGACAGCAAATCCCTGCTGACAAGAATTCCTCTCAGCTGACCCAGGCCTGTCTGCCACCACCTGCAGCATCACTGCCTCAGACCCAACCTGGCCAATCCGTGTGCTGTCTCTTCTGGCACTTGATTGGCTCAGGGAAGGGCACATGACCCAATCTGGACCAGTAAGAGGCAGGTGAGTCTCCAGCCCAGGTAAGAGGTACCCTCCTGGCTGATGGGGGCTATTTGCCATCATGAAGGGAGAGGCAGCTTGAGAAGGAAGCAGCACAGAGGGAAACTGAAAAAAGACAAGATGGAGAGGATCCTGATGGCACTGAGTCCCTGGATCACGCTGTACCTGAGAGTGGATCTCAGTGATGCAACTCCAAAATTTCCGTTTGTTGCCTAAGCCTATCTGGGCAGTGTTTCCGTCATTTACAATCCAAGGGAACCCTCTGTGCCAGCCAACTCTCACCTGCTCCTTCCAGCAGCCCAAGCAGGTATGACTGGACCTATTTCCCAGATGGGTAAACTGAGGCTCAGAAAGGCAAAGTGGTCTATTCAGTGTCACTGAGCTACAGTGTGGCTGGCATTCACACCCACATTTGACTAGCACCTCGTGGCTCTCTCCACATGCTGGCTTACCCACTTAGCGTCGGAGGGTCGCCCCTGGCCCACGTGAACGTGGCATTCTTCACAGTGATGCTGTTTGCGCCCCCGCCTGAAAAGCACCAGCAACAACATGTCAGGCAAAGACGGAAGTCCCGAGACTGAGCATCAGCGGGCTCTTTTTTTTTTTTTTCTAATCTTTGTTCGATACCAGGTACTAGACACTTGCACCAGGGCATTATCTCGTTACATCACTCCTCGTTTCTAAAGAACCCCAACCAGACCCACAAAGCAGACAGAAACCACAACAGGGTTCTGCCCTGAATGCCAGGAGGTCGCGCCATCCAGATGCCCATTTGGCAGAGGTGGGGGGACCCCCTGGGGTTTACTCAAGGCTCCAGGGCCTCCCTCACCTCATCTTGGGAGGATCGGGCAGCTCCGGCTGGGGGGCTGAGCAGAAGGCAAGGTCAACGGGGAACAAGCAGTTCTCTGCATCAAGCTGGCACTTGGCTGTTGGCCCTCACCACACCCTCGGCCCTCCCTTTATGTTCAAGGTGGGGTCCTGGGCCAAAGCACCTGGATTGTAGGTCTGTCTCCTAACGCCTATCTCTGCATCCCCTCTCCCGCCCTGCTCACATCACAGCAGGTCAATCTTTCTGAAAAACCAGTCACATACACCATGAAAAAGCAGGCTGTGCAACAGGATGTGGGGCATCACGGGGAGGGAAGAACGGTAAGACAAAGGCGGCTTTCTACATCCAACAGCGGCTCCGGATTCTAAGCTCCCGGCCCCTCTGTCTTCACTTACTTTCCCTCCCCTTCCTGTCCTTTGACGTCATGTCCCTCACTTAAAAAAACAACTTCTGACTCTTCATTATTAGCTTCCTTAAAACCACACAGAGATAAGACGGGCGTGTTTTTAAGCTCTCAAAGAAAGAGAGAAATTCCCCTGCACACCAAAGAAACAAAAAGCCCTGGCGAGAGGCAGTTACTGGTTAACCTGACCTTCCCTCCTTCACCCGGGCCCCGCCCCCTGCCCCCGTGGGACACAGAACAAGGAGGAAATGGGAAGGTGCTATTTAAGTACTTTAAGGAAAGCCACTTGAGTCAGACAAGCTAGAAAACCACCAGACGTGGCTGGGAGCTGCCAAGGTGGCCCCGTCTGACACCCACAGAGTCTGGATAAACATCTCAAAAAGTCAACCAGCCTAGGAAGGGGGTGCTGAGGCCAGGACCGCACCAGAAGGCCTGAGGGTTTTCCAGTAGGACACCTGGCAGGGAGCTGGGAGCAGCTGCAGGAACCTGAAACCTCCATGGGCTGTCCCAAATGTCAGCCCTGTGTTATGCAAAGAAATGTGACCCAGGAGGAAATGGCACGAGACCATCTACAGGGTAGTGGGGGAGACTAGGTCCTCGGGATGGCACAAACCGATGATCAAAGGCCAGGGAGGTTGGGAAGAAGATTCCAGCATCTCGTGAGTAGGGGTTCTCAACTGGGGGCAACTTTGCCCCCCCCCCAACAGATATCATGTCTGGAGACAGTTTTGGTTTTTCAAAATTGGGGTGGGTACTACCGAGATCTAGCAGGCTGAGGCCATGCATGCTGCTCAGCACCCTCTAATGCTCAGGACGGCCCCCAGGGCAAAGAACGCTCGGGTCTCCAGTGTCAGTAGTGCCAAGGCTGTGGAACTGGCCCTCGAGGGTTGGGTTGACAATGTCCCAGACCCCTTCTCTCTCACACTAGGGAAGTCACGGCCACCACATCTGGGGGGCAGGCACTGCGCTCAGTGTTGGACACACCACCGGAGAGATCTGAAAGCCCACGAGGTGCCAGGCACTGCTCAGACCTTTTAACCAGTGCATACACACATTCGCTCCTCTGACCGTATCTACTGGGCTCTCCAATCCCCGTGCGGCCACTGCCTAGCTGAACAGCCTTGGACAAGTTACTTAACTTCTCTGGGCCTCACTGTCCTCGTCGGTAAAGCAGGACTGATAAGAATGAGATGGACCCCAAACACTGTGGTGCTAGGCGCATAGTTAAGTGCTCAGTAAATCTCTGTAGGGCACACTATACAGTGGGTAAGAGCAGATCCCAATAACTGGCTGTGGGTGTGAATCCTGCCTCCGCTTATTAGCTGTGCGATCTCAGGCAAGTGACTTAGGCCGGTTTCCCCATCCATAAAGGTTTCCACAGCCCCTCTGTGTGCTATGCTTAGCACGGACGTCCTTAAAACACAACACGCATGACGGAAGTGTCGTTTAAGTGAAAAGTAGTCACTGCTGGTCATGCATTAATATTTACTATTGGGGCGCCTGGGTGGCTCAGTTGGTTAAGCAACTGCCTTCGGCTCAGGTCATGATCCCGGAGTCCTGGGATCGAGTCCCGCATCGGGCTCCCGGCTCGTCGGAGAGCCTGCTTCTCCCTCTGACCCTATCCCCTCTCATGCTGTTTCTCTCTCTCTCTCTCTCAAATAAATAAATAAATAAAATCTTTAAAAAAAAAAATTTACTATCAAGTGCTTGGAGACATAACTGGGAATCCAAGATCCCCACTCAGGGAGGTTGACTGGGAAAGGATAAATTAATAAGCTACAAAAGAAAGAAGCCTACCAATAAAAATCCACATAACACCCTGACAAAGAAAGGCACCTTCATTCCCATTACCCAGATAGGGAAACTGAGGCTCAGAGCAGGCAAGTGACCCGCCCAAGCACACAGAGTTGGTGGGTTGGAGCTGGTCAGTCTCCAACGTCCTTGTTGTGCCTGCCCATCTACCCAGAACAGAGTCAAGATCTGAGCCCTGGAACGGGCCCCTCGATGGGAGGCCTCACCCCCTGGCTGCCTCTCAGCGGGAAAGCACCAAGAAAACAGAAGTTGAAGTTCACCCGCCTGGGATGTGCAAGATAAGGCCCGACGCCCACCCAGCACTGCAGGGCTCCTGTTCCCGGGGGCCTCACAGCCCAACCCGAGGGGAACCTTCATGGCACAGAGGGACCCGATGCACACACCGTCCTTGACGGGCCTTCGCTCGATGCTGTCAGGCTCCAGCTCCTCGTGAGACAGAAAGATCCTGAGGCGTTTGAGGGAGACACTCGCCTACACAGAAAGCAATCGCAGGGTGCAGTTATTTTTAAAAGTATTTTTGCAAAAAAACAGACCGAGGCTAACTTGCGGTGGTTTCCCCTGGGTGTCGAGGGGCCCACATCCTCCCTCATCTCTGGCGGCTCTGCGTTTCCTACAAGAGTGTGCCTCAGAAGGAGAACCAGAACAGGTTTTGGTTCTTGTTTGTTCTCCTTTCAAAGCCCACCACCACAGGTATTAAAAAAGAGGGTAGGGGGATTGTCCTAGATGACAAGGGACTTCAGAAACAATAACCAAACGCGGTGGCCCCGTGTAAGGGTACAAGCTTGCAACCAGGGGAGAAAGAAGTCCTGGAGATATATTGCAGGGTGATTACGATCAACACGCTGTGAGCTGGCTAAGAGATGGCATCTTCATGGTTCCCAACAGAAAAAGGAAACGAAAATCACGTGATGTGACAGAGGCGTCAGCTGACACTCCTGTGGTCATTCTTTGGCCACACACGTTGGACACCTTAAATTTACAAAATGTTCTATATCGATTCTATCTCATAAAAGTAAACTGAGAAAGAAAAAAACCCACAAAACAACAGCAAAGAAATGCATGCTGAAATATTTATGGGTGAAATGTCAAGAGGTCTGGGATTTGCTGTAAAATTCTCCGGGGGCGCCTGGCTGGTTCCACTGGTGGAGCATGTGACTCTTGATCTCGAGGTGATGAGTTTGAGCCCCAAGTTGCATGTGGAGAGTACTTAAAAATAAAAAAGCCTTAAAAAAAAAAACAAAAGAAAGGAGTGAAGGAAGGAAAGAAGGAAAGGAAGCGGGGGAGGGGAAGACAGAAAAAGGATTTGATGAGCCAAGCGCAGCAAAATGTCGAATCTGGGTGAATGCTACATGGAGTCATTATTATACTGTTTGTTCTCTCCCTACGTCTGTATACGTTTGAATTTTTTCGTAACAAAAAGGAATTTTATTTGCTCATTTATTTTTTTAATGAAAGCATACAAGCAGAGTTGTACAACCAAATCTTAAGGTTCATTTGTCTGTGTGGCTGAAAATCGGGTTCTCAGTATGAATGCGTTCAAATGCTGGGGAGAAAAATATGAGAAAATACCACCAGTTGGAAAGTGTAGGAGCTTCACATAGAGTAAAAGTGTGACTGAGCAGCTAGTTTCCTCACCTTGCAGGGTCACTGCTGTGGACTTCAGGATTTCTGGGGGGTCTAGGTAGGGGTTTTTCCAATGGTGGGTTGAGGCCTGTCAGTGGGTTGTGAAGTCAGTTGAGTAAGCCAAGAGATGCAGTGTTGAAAAAGTAGAGTAAGCTAGAGCAGGGTCGAACAGACTGCATCAGAATGGGACAGGATGAATATTTCAGAACATTACAGAGCTCAGGGAAGCCTGCTTGCATGCAGTCTTTGTTTTGTACGTTCAAGCCTGAGTTCCTTGTCAAGAAGTCACATGTAGGGGCGCCTGGGTGGCTCAGTCGTTAAGCGTCTGCCTTCGGCTCAGGTCATGGTCCCAGCGTCCTGGGATCGAGCCCCGTGTCGGGCTCCCTGCTCCGCGGGAAGCCTGCTTCTCCCTCTCCCACTCCCCCTGCTTGTGTTCCCTCTCTCGCTGT